TAAGAAATGGTATAATAATGACTTATATACACATTAAAAGCATTTAATACAATTGTACTTCTCATTTAGTTTATATTATTTTAGGCATAAGTTCTTAAATGATATGACAACAATCCATTACTTAATAATAATTTTTATTGAGATATTTTTAGAAACACTAATAGCATTTTAAATCAATTCTTGAAACAAATAGCATAATTTATTTTCCATTTAAAGAGTTAATTTACATACATAAGTAATTGTAATAACCCTTTTTTCCCAATAAAAATCAATAAATTTAAAAATGTTATATATAAATTTCTAATAAAAAAACCAAAACCCAAAATTTGCATTAAATATTATTTTGACACGTTTTTCAGTTTATTTCAAGCGCATGAGTTGTTTTAAAGTCGTTAAAATGATTTAAGTATTAAAGTGAATATTTTATGTAGTCTTTCAGCAAAAAGGTTTATATATCAATTTCTATAAACATTAAATATACAAATATAACTAGAAATACATAGTACTTTTATAGTCTTATAGTACATATATTGGACACAAATCCGATCCAAGAAAAATTTTCCAAATCTGACTATCTTTACTATACAAAAAGCGTTCTCTGGTTTGCTATATGTATAGTAGTCAGAATCTGACAATATTTTCTATATAAAAAGTAGTCGGAATCTGACTACATCTTCTATATGAAAGGTTGTCAGAATCTGACTATATGTTCTATATGATAAGTAGTAAGAATCTGACAACCCTTTCCACATGAAAAGTAGACAGAATTTGCCTACATTTTCCATATGGAAAGTTGTCAGAATCTGACTACATTTACTGTATGAAAAGTAGTCAGAATCTGACTACATTTTCTATATGAAAATTTGTTGGAATCTGACTACATTTTCTATATGAAAATTAGTTGGAATCTGACTATATGAAAAGTAGTCAGAATCTGACTACATTTCCGGAAAAGTTGTCAAAATCTGACTATATTTTCTGTATGAAAAGTTATCACAAACTGACAACATTTTCTATATCAAAGGTTGTGAGAAACTGACTACATTTTCTATATGAAAACTTGTCAAAATCTGACTATATCTTTTATATGAAAGCTTGTCAGAATCTGACTACATTTTCTATATGAAACCTGTCAGAATCTGACTACATTTTCTTTTTGAAATGTTGTCAGAATCTAACTACACTTTCTATATGTAACGTTGTCAGAAACTAACTATACGAAAGTCAGAACCATACTACATTTTGTATATGAAAGGTTGTCAGAATCTGACTAAATGTTCTATATGATAAGTAGTAAGTATCTGACTACATTTTCCACATGAAAAGTTTTCAGAATCTGATTAAATTTACTGTATGAAAAGTAGTCAGAATCTGACTAAATTTTGTATATGAAAACTTGTCAGAATCTGACTTCATTTTCTATATGAAAAGAAGTCAGAATCTGACTACAGCTTCTTAATGAAAAGTAGTCAGAATCTGACTACATTTTCTATATGAAAAGTTGTCAGAATCTGGCTACATTTTCTGTATGAAAAGTTTTCAGAATCTGACTACATTTTCTATATATAAAGTTGTCAGAAAATGACTATATTTTTTATATGTAAAGTTGTCAGAAAATGACTATATTTTTTATATGAAAAGTTGTCAGAAACTGACTACATTTTCTATATGAAAAGTAGTCAGAATATGACTACATTTTCTATATGAAAACATGTCAGAATCTGACTACATTTTCTATATAAAAAGTATTCAGAATCTGACTACAGCTTCTATATGAAGAGAAGTCATAATCTGACAGCATTTTCTATATGAATAGTAGCCATAATCTGACTGCATTTTCTATGGGAAAAGTAGTAATTTTACTGAATTCTTGCCGAAGAAATTCGTACATCAAAAACTATTAGAGTACTAGGCATTAGCATACAATACAAGTATCTACACATGTATGTATATTTTAGCTATAAAGCTTATAAGAATCTAAATATGTATCTATGTAAATTAAAGTGCCTGCTAGCGTAGGATTGTAAATATGTGTAGAAGTGTAAATAAAACTGTAAAACTTTGTTTAGTAGTGCGTAAACATAATGACTCAAAATGCAAAGTAAAGTAACCAAAGAAGAGCCCACAATCTAAATAAACCGAAAATATATACCACCGACTACTATTCAAAAACCAAAACACGTACTTCAAAGTATATACAGCAAGAAAAACAACTACAACAACAACAGCAATAACTTAACATTAACAACCGCAACAACAACAAAAACTGTAACATAAGATAACAGCAACATAATTGTTTTTTTCAAAAACAACAAGCATGAGTTTACTGTCAAAATGCACACACCCAGCCGCAGACCTGAAGTTAGATGTAACATTCCCAATTTAGGGATATAAAATTGGTTCAAAATGACTTCACTCTTAATAACTAGGGGACACAAAATTAGCGATTGTCTAAAGGACAGTAAAGCAACAAGTGACTACATTTGACAATAGACTTCTAAATGATTCAGAATATAAATTTTAGACAATCCAGTAGGCGTTTGGACATATAGGGAAAATATTGTTTAAAATAAAATACAAAACCCCCTTTTAAAACTGCTGGGCTACTAATACAAATGAACAACAAGAAATTCCCATACTCTTAACAACAGCTTCAATTATAAACAAAAATAATGTTTTCAGCAACAAAAGTGAAATATTTTCTATTAACAAAAAAGGCAACGCTACTTACGCTTGTTTTGCGAAATGGAAATTATTTTCAACAATATTTTACTTAAGCAAAAAGGCGTACCTTAATGGACATGGTGAAACTAATAGTTGTTTATGTTCCAACAAAAATTATTTTGAAAGCCTAGTTATTATAGAACAAAATGCTTTTTCAATTACATAAAAATTGATTTGTAATTACTTTTAGTATTAGTAAATAACTTGAGCATGTTGGTGAAAATATCTAACGACATTTTCTATAGTCAGAGTCTGACTACATTTTCTATATGAAAAAGTAGTCAGAATCTGTCTACATTTTGTTTATGAAAAGTACTGAGAATCTGACTACAATTTGTTTATGAAAAGTATTGAGAGAGAGTAGTCAGAATCTGACTTTCTATATGAAAAGTAGTCAGAATCTGACTTCATTTTCTATGAAAAGTAGTCAGAATCTGACTTCATTTTCTATGAAAAGTAGTCAGAATCTGACTTCATTTTCTATGAAAAGTAGTCAGAATCTGACTTCATTTTCTATGAAAAGTAGTCAGAATCTGACTCCATTTTCTATGAAAAGTAGTCAGATTCTGACAACGATTTCAATATGAAAAGTAGTCAGAATCTGACTAAATTTTCTATATGAAAAGTTGTCAGAATCTGACAACATTTTCTATATGAAAAGTTGTCAGAATTTGACTACATTTTTTAAATGAAAAAAGTCAGAATCTGACTAAATTTTCTATATGAAAAGTAGTCCGAATCTGACTACATTTTCTATATGAAAAATAGTCAGAATCTTACTACATTTTCTACATGAAAAGTAGTCAGACTCTGACTATATTTACTATATGAAAAGTAGTCAGAATCTGACTAAATGTTCTATATGAAAAGTTGTCAGAATCTGACTACATTTTCTATATGAAAAATATTCAGAATTTGACAACACTTTCTATATGTGAAAAGTAGTCAGAATCTGACTACATTTTCTATGTGAAAATTAGTCAGAATCTGACTACATTTTCTCTGTGAAAAGTAGTTAGAATCTGACAATATTTTCTATATGAAAAGTGGTCAGAATCTGACTGCATTTTCTATATGAAAAGTAGTCAGAATATGTGAAAATTTTCTATATGAAAAGTAGTCAGAATCTGACCATATTTTCTGTATGAAAAGTAATCAGGATCAGACTACATTTTCTATATAAAAAGTGGTCAGAATCTGACTACATTTCCTATATGAAAAGTGGTCAGAATATGACTACATTTCCTATATGAAAAGTGGTCAGAATATGACTACATTTGCTATAGGAAAAGTAGTCAGAATCTGACTACATTTTCTATAGGAAAAGTAATCAGATTCTGACCACATTTTCGATATGAAAAGTAGTCAGAATCTGGGAAAATTTTCTATATGAAAAGTAGTCAGAATCTGACCATAATTTCGGTGGTCAGAACCTGACTACATTTTCTATAGGAAAAGTAGTCAGAATCTGACTACATTTTCTATACGAAAAGAAGTCAGAACCTGACTACATTTTCTATATGAAAAGCGGTCAAAATCTGACTACATTTTCTATAGCAAAAGTAGTCAGAATCTGACTGCATTTTCCATATGAAAAGTAGTCGGAATCTGACTACATTTTCTATAGGAAAATTAGTCAGAATCTGACTACATTTTCTAGATGAAAAGTAGCCAGAATCTGACTACATTTTCTATACGAAAATAAGTTAGAATCTGACCACATTTTCTGTTTAAAAAGTGGTCAGAATCTGACTACCTAGGAGTATTAGTTACTTGTTTATACAAAAAAGCAGTCAAAATATAAATTGACATTGCTGTAAGAAAAGTTTTAAGAAACTACCTTTTTAATAGGAAATTTTCCTCGGTTAGCTAATGAGGAAATCTACTTTACACTTAACCAACATTTTAGTGGTTACTGTCATGCTCACAAAGAGTCACTTATCAACAAAAAGCTTTCCACGACAATTCAGCCATTAAAAACACTGAAAGCTTTTGGTAAATTTACACTTTCAAACAAAATAAAAATAGAGAATTATAGAAAAACTTTCTGGATTTCCCTACTAACATGTATTATGCTGCGAACAAAGCTTTTCCCGGAGTTTTGCTTTATCTATAAAAAAAAAACACTATAAAAGCTTTAACATTCAACATGTTTATGTTGCCTTAATAATGGTTACTACTAAAAACACTTACACACACACATAGTGAAAAAAGAAAACACAAATTCATACTTTTGGCATTTCACATGCATCAAGTGAAAATCAGTTTTTCCCGGGTATTCGATAAGTAACGTTGTCAATATTTTTTGAAAACGGAAGAAAATTCAAAAATTAAATTTAGTTAAATATAAAAAGGAAAATATAATAAAAATTGATTAAGAAAATAAAAATTTTAGAAAATATATAGAGAAAAATATTTGAATATAACTTAAAGCAGAATTATTAAAAATTAATAATTTCATTAAAAGAATTAAATAAAAGTGTTTGATTGTGTGCGTTTTTTCTTTTTTTTTTAATTGTGTCTATTGTGCAAAAAGTTTCAAGTGTTAGAACCTCATTTTCCATTCATACAACAGCAGCAAATCATCATCTTCAATATCAACAATCACAAAGTAAAATTAAAACCACAATGGGAATATTTTCTCATTCCACTTGAAGGATAAACAGAACAGAATATTTATATTTTAAAGGTAAGAGATATATTTTTTTAAACTTTTATTTGCACTTTTTATTTTAACAACAACACTTGAGGGGGGAAAAAAACTTGGGTGTGTATGAAAAGTATTAGGAGATATTTAAATATTTTGTTGACTTGTTGAAATTATGTATGTCAGCGTAAATATTGTATATATTTTTCGGTAATATGTAATATAATATTTGTACACATACTTAGGTGACAGCAAATAAATAAAAATCATAAAAAACAGTAGCAGCAAACGTTTATCATATAAAAAAAATATATTTATTACTCACATTATATTCCAACTCATGTGCAAGCTTTTTAATTTGCCTTTCGAAAAGGTAAAATTTATGAACAAGTACCCTTGACATTCTATTTATTTATGTATGTTTTATATGATTATTTTTTTATTTATATACATATGTATGTATGTTTAAATATATACATGCTTTGTAAATTTTTATATGAATTGCCAAATCAATATATAAAAAAAATTAATATGAGTTAAAAATAAATTATTAATGATCCTATTAAGGTCTATCAAAATGCTAATAAAATCATTGGGCGTGTAAAGGACAAAAATTATATACGACAACTGAATGGAAAATATTATTAATAAGAATTATGGAAAATTTATTTTTTTTTATTATTATTGTATAAATTAATATATTTTGAAAAGGTTTAGTTAGAATTATATGAATTCTTTATAAAAAATATATTTTTTGCCTTTAAAGATTTTACAAAACATGAATTAATTTAAAACAAGTAAGAAATTATAGTCGGGCGAGGCCGACCATATAATACTCTTCACCTGTTACAAAAAAAAATGTGATTTAGTTTTCATAATAAAGCCTTTAAGTTAAATTGTACCTTGCCGCAGATATACTTAAGCCATTTATTGTTGAATAAAATTGTGAACATTTAAGTCGAATTTTGAAGGGGGATTTGTATAGGGGTTATGGTCAAATTAGACCCTATAATTATAAAATTCATGAGAGCCATCAAGGCTAGTATAGAACTTGGTTTTGCAACTTTTTGTCGAGATACGAGTATATTAAACATAACAAGTAAGAAATTATAGTCGGGCGAGGCCGACCATATAATACCCAACACCTTTGACAAAAATATAATGTGATTTAGTTGCCATAATAAAGCATTTAAGTTGAATTGTACCTTGCCTTAGATATACATACTTAAGCCGTTTATTGTTGAATAAAATTGTGGACATTTAAGTGAAATTTTGATGGGGGCTTTTCATATGAGAACCTATTATTATGGAAATCGTGGGGTCATCAAGTCTTGTATACAACTTGGTTATTGCAGCTTTTTGTCGAGATATGAGTATATTAAACATAATTATGAACTTAAAATCCCCATTCGGCGGGTTCAGTTGTATGGGGGCTAGGTGAAATAATGGACCGATGTAAACCATTTTCAACAGGCTTCATCTACGGTACCATAAATGATCATGTGCCAAATTTCATTGAATTATGTCCAAAATTGCTACCTGTAGTTTGATTACAAGTTTTAAAAGCCCTATTCGGTGGTTCAGTTGTATGGGGGCTAGGTGAAATAATGGACCGATGTTAACCATTTTCAATAGCCTTCGTCTACGATATCATAAAAGATCATGTGCCAAATTTCATTGAATTATCTTCAAAATTGTGACCTGTAGTTTGATTACAAGTTTTAAAAGCCCTATTCGAGGGGTTCAGTTGTATGGGGGCTAGGTGAAATAATGGACCGATGTTAACCATTTTCAATAGCCTTCGTCTACGATACCATAAAAGATCATGTGCCAAATTTCATTCAAAATTGCGACCTGTAGTTTGATTACAAGGATTACAAGCCCTTTTGGGGGGTTCAGTTGTATTGGGGCTAGGTGAAATAATGGACCGATCTTAACCATTTTCAATAGGCTTCGTCCCTGGGACAATAAAAGATCATGTACCAAATTTCATTGAATTATCTTCAAAATTGCGACCTGTAGTTTGATTACAAGGTTTACATGGACGGACGGACGGACAGACAGACGCACGGACGGACATAGCTAAATCGACTTTAAGGTGGGTATCGGACCAATATTATTGTGCGTTACAAACATCAGCACAAACCCAATATACCCTCCCCACTAAAGTGGTGTAGGGTATAATTATGAACTTAAAAGCCCTATTAGTACGGTTCAGTTGTATGGGAGCTAGGTGAGATAATGGACCCATATTAACCATTTTCAACAGACTTTGTCTCTGGTACCATAGGATATCGTGTGCCAAATTTCATTGAAATATCTTCAAAATTGCTGTAGTTTGATTACAAGGTTTACAAGCCCTATTCAGGGGTTCAGTTATACGGGGGCTAGGTGAAATAATGGACCGATCGTAACCATTTTCAATAGGCTTCGTCCCTGGGACAATAGAAGATCATGTACCGAATTTCATTGATTTATCTTCAAAATTGCGACCTGTAGTTTGATTACAAGGTTTACATGGACGGACGGACGGACATAGCTAAATCGACTCAGAAAAAGGATTCTAAGCCGATTGGTATACTTTAAGGTGGGTATAGGACCAATATTATTGTACGTTACAAACATCAGCACAAACCCAATATACCCTCCCACTAAAGTGGTGTAGGGTATAAATACTGGAAAACAATATATTTTCTAATAATATATGATCGTAGATCCTTAAAATTAAATGTACATATTAAGGGTCCGCATACAATTATAGTACGATTTATACAGGTCCGTCCGTCCATTGATCCAACTGACTTAATCTGTAGGTTCGATGATACAAATTGTTTGGCATTAAAATATTGGTCCGTATAATCTGAAAAGCCCTGTTTATGGGGTACGGCTGTATGGGGGCTAGACGACCAATTTCAACCGTTTTGGGTGAAAAAAGTGTATGTGCCAAGTTGTATGAAATTATCTTGAAAATCGCGAGCTATAGTGTGCTAACAAGGTTTACATGGACGCACAGACGGACATTGCTTTATCGACTCTGAAAGTAATACTGAGCCAATTTGTATATTTTAAGGTAAGTGTAGGTCCTACCCAATTTACTGGTGTGAGGTATACAAATTTCGCTGAAACACACTGAATGATAATCGATGCTTATGGTGTATATGTTGGTTTCAGACAAAACAGAAAACGTTAGAAGAATTTGAGATATTACTCCATGAATATTATTGTAAACTACTCAAACGGCAATTTCAAAGCTATTAGAGAAAATCGTTTTTGAACCCAACGATGAAAAAGTTTCTATTGTCATAACCTGTCCAAATCAAATCAGAAGAACGGACACCAAAGCTTAATATCTATGGCGCTATGAGTTGAACTAATTTTTAGCTTGTATCCTATAAAGTAGTTAAGTGTCTTTGAAGGAGATTTAAATTTGCCAATATTTCAAACATGTCCTCTTAAATAATTGTTTAGTTCTAATTGTTTAATTTTAAGAACATTTATGCAAATATTACACTATGTACCCTAAGAACAAGAAGTTCTTTCGTTACTCAATATAATAGACTCATTCATTTATGTATGTGCTCTTGAGTAAGAAAATAATTTTAAAAAATTTTAACTAAAATTACATATTCAGATTAACTCCCGTATTTTATACCCATCACCTTCGTGGGAATGGTATATATTAGTTTGTCATTCCGTTTGTAATTTCTACAATATAATTTTCCGATATGTAATCTATATCCTTATAGATAGCGCTGTCGATTAGGTCATGTCCGTCTGTCCATCTGTCGGACTATCTGTCGCACTATCTGCCTGTCTGTCTGTCTGTTTGCCTGTTTGTCTGTCTGTCTGTCTGTCTATCTGTCTGTCCGTCTGTGAGTGTGTGTTGAAATCAATTTCCTGAAGACCTCTCTGTGATCTCAGTCTTCAATAATTCTATCTGACATGCTTTCGAGAAGTTTCCTATTTAAAATCAGCAAAATCGGTTCATAAGTAATGGAGATATGAGCAATAATCTGAGGCAACCTCTGAAAATTTCGTCGAAAAATTAGTATTTTTTAAATGCAGACGAATAAATACAAAATCTACATTAGAGATTGTGATTGTTTGAATGTACGTTGTGTTTGCTTGTTTATAATAAACAGTTGTTTTGAATTTATTTCTTTGTCACAGAGATGGGAAAGCATTTATAAACGTAATGCAAATTTTTTGAAAAAATTTAAGAAAAAAATCTTAAATTCAACACTATGGTGAAGGGTATAAAAAATTCGGCATAGTAGAATGTAGCACTCTACTTGTTTATTTCCAATTATGTTAATTTTCTTTACCACTACCCCGTGGTCCTTCGAGCCATGATATGAAGACTTTTCGCAGTGAAGGTGAAGTTTTGTCGTTTCACTACCTTTTCGACGTGAATACCCAAAAGATATGAACACTGGATATATTCCCTAAATCAATTCGTTCGAAACGAAAACAGACTAATACAAAACCTCTCCTGCTCTTAATTTGAAAGAATTTCGCCTTGATAATGTGATGTGATACACGGGGTTTTCATATTACTCTTAAAGGAGAATATTTGTTAATTTCTTCAATCCGGCTCGAAAGACCACAAAAAGTTAATTTTCTTTAGTTTTCTATAGTTTCCCTTAAAAAAAATAAATTTTACTTGGGATCATATTATTGTTATTATGGAATCATAACATGATTAGGTATGACAAGTTATGTTTAATAGGAAAATATTATGAATAATATTATCAATATTAATAATAATATGATTAAACTATAATCATAAATCTATTCATAATATGGTGCTCTTAGTTTATGGTTACCACAACCATGTCTTTTTTCTGAGTACATGGGAAACGCTTCAAACGTCTTTGGCCTCAAGAGATGAGCAATTCTTAAGTTTTTTTTTTTACATTTTTAATAGAAATATTTTTATAACTGTAAAATTTCATTGAATTTCTACTATATATATGGGGAATTTTATGTCAAGTCACCCTACTCAAAAATTAGATTTTGACGAAATTTGCTCTAAGGTTAGT